GATCTTGAGGTTCTCGGAGCGGGCGAAGACCTTGCCGCATCCCGGGAAGGGGCAGGGGAAAGGCTTCTCGCCCGTGTGCACGCGGATGTGGTTGATGAGCTTGTACTTGGCCTTGAAGGGCTTCCCTTGGCGGGGACACTCCTCCCAGAAACACACGTGGCTGCTCTGCTCAGGCCCCCCGACGTGCTCCACCGTGACGTGGTTGACCAGCTCGTGCATGGTGCCGTAGGTCTTGGAGCAGGGTGGCGTCCCGCCGCCGCCCGCCTCGGCCTCCAGCCACTTGCAGATCAGCTCTTGCTTAATGGGCTGCCGCATGTAGCGCAGGAAGGCGGCGGCGGCGGCGCCCGCGTGGTGCGGCGGCTGCGGCGGCGACGCGTGGTGCGCATGTGCGGGCGGGTGCGAGTGGTGGTGCTGCTGCTGCTGCAAAGCGGCCGCCGCCGCCGCTGCCGCCGCCAAGTTGACCGGGTAGCCGTGCGGGGCAGGGCCGTAGGAGGCTTCGGAGCCGGCGGGCGAAGGGCGGAAGGGCTCGATGCGCCCGTAAAACTCCGCGGCGGCGGCGGCGGCGGCAGCCACGGCCAGCCCCAGGCGCATCTGGCCGTTGAGCGGGTGATGCCCGCCCGAGGCGCCGCCGGGATGCTCGTGGAGGCCCGGGAAGACGGCGGCGTGGAGGTCCCCCCCAGCGCCGTAGGTGCCGGCCGAGGAGATGAACATGGGCGAGCTGGCGGCCGCCGGGGGCTGTTGGAGCTGTGGCGGATCTCCCCGCAAGCCCGGCTCCCGCCGCAGCGCCAGCTCCCGGCCTGCCGCCGCGTAAGGCTGACTAGCCGAGCTGGGAGACGCGCCGTTGGCGCCAACTCCGCTGCCGGCCGGTTGCAAAGAGGCGGCCGCGGCGAAAGTCGCTTCGGGGCTGGCTGGGCTGAGCTTGAGCGCCCCCGCCGCCACGTGCTCGGGCCCGAAGGGGGCGGTAGCAGCCGGGTCCGAAGAGCCCAAGTCCCCCGGGTGCAAAGGATGGAAGCCGCCGGTGGCGCCGCCGCCGCTGCCGAAGGAGTCGGCCAAGCGCAGGCTGGGACTCCTCTTGCAACTCAGCGCGGGCTCCATGCCGCCTCCGCCTCCGCCGCCCAATGGCCCATCGAGCCGCGCGGGGGTAGCCCGGGCCTGGGCCAGCCCGGCGGGGGCCGAAGCCTTCCTCCCCCTGCCCGCCGCCGCCGCCACCGTCACCAGCGCCGCCGCCTTGCCAAACATGGAGCGATTAAGCGGCTCTTTAACTTCTTTTGTCTCCTCCGCTTCCCAACTCGGCTGCTCATTCCATCCGCTCCCCGCTCTGGCCTCCAGCGATTGGCAGAGCGCTCGGCACATTTGAGCGGCGCGGTTGGGAACCAGAGTTTGGAAATGTGCGCGGGTGGGATTGGAGGGAGACCGATGATTGGCAGAGGCCAGGGCAGCGCGATTGGCTCCCATTCAGGCCGGGCGCTCAGCGGGGAACCGCCCTCGCGCTCCTGCCTGCGTCCTCTCCCCCTCCCCCCTTTTTTTCTTCGCACTTGCTCCGCAGTTCCTTCTCCCCCTCCCTCCCCCGAAATAGTTGCCCTCGGCGGAAAAGCGAAAGGGAGATAAAGAAGGGGGGAAAGTTCGCGCCTCGTCGCCGAGGAAGCGCCAAGCGAGCGAGCGGCCCGTGGCGGCGGCCGAGGCGGCTGACTCTGGTCCAGAGTTGCGTGGGGAGGAGCTGGGGCTTCCCTGCCACCTGTAGGGCGCCGGGTTGGCAGCTGAGCCAGGCGCTGGATGGACGGTCCTTCCGCCTGCCTTCCTGCCTGAAGCCTGCAACTCAGATTTGGGTCTTTGGGGAGCGGCGCCTGTCCAAAGTCTTGTGTTTACAACAGGTTGTTTCTTGGCAAAGACGACACACAGGCGCGTGGAGGAGGATGGTGGTTAGAATAATCCACATTAAGAGCTGCGCGTCGTTGATACTTCGGCGAGAACGGCTTATCCTTGTAGGACTAGGGAACATCCCAGTTCCAAGGAACTTTCCCTACCGAGTCATCCTGCTGAGACTGTCCTATCTCAGTTCTACGGAGAAGTCCGTGCGCCAATCCCCGAGAGGCAGCCCCACCCGATCAGACATGCCATTTTCCACGCGGCCACCGGAAAGGTCCCGTGGATATCCGTTTGTACTCCTCATTAAGAACCCAGGCACTGACCTACCCAAGGCCGTCTCGTGGCTCCAAAGAAGCCGCTGTTTTGCAAGAGAGGAGGCGACGAGAGGGCTGGGGAGCCGCTGGGGAGAACTGCCAGCGCCTCTTTCTTTAGAGAAAGCAAAGCCTCCATTGCTGCAATCTCTGGGGCAGAGAGAATTCGTTTTCCAGAATTCCGTCTCAAATGATCGAGTCTCAGAAAGATCCCCCTTATTTATTTCTTCCCCGCATTATCATCGCCGCCTCCTCCCCCAGTCCGCTGAATTAATTCCACAAATGTTAAATCGTTACTACGTCCAAATTTATCTCGCGCCTTTCGGATCTCCTCCCCTTCCAACTTTCCCTTCTGTTTCTCCAAACCGTTTCCTTAACCCTTTGGGGAGGAAGGATGTGTGACATCTGACATCTCAAGAGTGCTTTTTTTCTCCCCATAAAGTTTGCCAGGTCCTTTCAAGAAGGCGCTCGAACCGTTTTCAGAAACAGGTGGGGGGAAAAAACCCCAAGGAACAAGTTCTGGTCAGAAAAAAAGGAGCGGAGGGAATGGCGGGCCCCCAAACTGTAGCTCCTCCCCCTCCCCTTCGTTTTTCTTACATTGATGCAAATAGATTAATTTTTGTAAATCCCTACGTTCTAAGGAAATGAATGCGATTCCTCTCGCAGTGGGGGCCTCTGGGAATGGCTAAAGCAAGCCTCTACCATTTGGGAACGGAAAGTACCCGCTCTAAAAAACCCCGGAGTGAGGGATACGATTCGGAAACGGAGGGGGAAGGAAAGCGGCCCTTTACAGTCCGCGTGGGGAGCTCCAGCTGCTGCGGGAGGAAGCCTCACAAACGGGCAGTGGCATTTCCTTTAAGAAAAGTTACTAGTCTAACTTAAATAGCGCGCGAAAAGGCGCGGGGGGGGGGGGGGGCTCTGGCGCTTGGTTCGACACTAGGCTGTTTTTTGTTTTTTGGCGAAGGACTTGCGTCTAATTTGCCACAGTCGGAAACGATGCGGAAGGCGTCCCACGCCAAGTTCAATTCTCCGTGCAATAAAAATTGCTAGACTTTCCTTGAGTTTTTAGCCTAGAGAGAGTGGGAGGGAGGAGAGACCCCTTCTACCAGGAACCGCCCAGACTTTCTCACTTGCCCTCAGGTCGCGAGATAAGGAAGGGCCGCCCGGGTCAGTCGTTACAATCATCTGTTAGGATCTGGCCACCCAGCGAGTAACAAGTGTGCTTCTCATTAAATGTGTTCCTGAGTAATATCACCTGTCTTCCCAGGTAAAGCCCGCCGGATCCAAAGGACTGGATTCCCTAGTAAGCGTGTTTAGGATCCCAAGTGTCTAGAATAGATAACACTTGTCAGTGATTCTTTCACCGTTGTGCCATTCCATCTTCCTGTTAGGTTGGGTGCTTAAGGAGGAAAGGACCTTACTTGAATTCTCAAAATTAAACTGTCACGCAAGTGTCCCAGGTCAACCACAGGCCTGAGTTACAGTTCTGCAGCTGCACGCAGGTCCCTCGAACCGACGTCCCTGTTCATCCTCTTGTCCAGCGCAACGACATGATACGGAACTGCGCGCGATTTCGAGCTTCTTAATCCAAATTGCTCTCCCCATCCATTGCTTTCTTGAGAGAGGTGTGTGTGTGTGTGTGTGTTGACCCCATCCATTGCTTTCTTGAGGTGTGTGTGTGTGTATGTGTGTGTGACTTCGCTGCTTCAAGGCTGGAAGGACGGGGGAGGATCGTAACATTGCATGCGGGAATGGTCGTCCGGTTTGGGACAATATATGAACGATAGCGAAAACTTCTTGGTCGGACCGAATGGATGGGAAGCTGCTGTGGAACGACAGACGGGGCATACAAGCTGTTTTTGAAGAGGCCTGACTCTGTCAACACGCGCCTTGAGGATGTGAGACTGGCACCTAGTACATGCAACCCGAAGCCAGGCAACCCAGGGGCTAAGAAGCCCATCCTGTGAGCCAGACTGTCATTTTTGTTACCTCGGGCCAAGCAGCAAATGAGTGCAGGCGGAAGACTTGTTCCCTCCCAACCATTATCATCATCGTCATAATCATCATAATCATCCCTGTTATTATCTTCATCACCACCGTGGTCGCTGATCGTTAGTGGACCAAGGAAAGCGTCTCGTCAGCGCAAGGTACTAGCAGCAGCTAGAGAGACCTTTATTCCTCAATCCTGGAGTGGGAAAGCAGCAGGCTCGCTTCTGAAGACAGTAAAGCAGGGAACGAACCGCGCCGTTGTTATGAAGCCACCGCTATGCAAAACCGGGCCTGTCTGGCCAGGATTCCCTCTTCGAAATTGTACATACAGGGCGAAACATTCGCGTTTTACTACTGTGGGCCGTTCAAAACCTACCAGAGGTTGACATTCATTCATGATTTCGGTATATAAGGGGTGTTTACTTTCATGCTGAAACACCTGTTCTTCCATTTATTTCGCCAAATACAGTATATTCCCCAAACCAATTACTGTAATGAGCCTCTCCATTCTAGTTTGTTTATTTGTTTTGTTTATCTCCCTTCCCCTCCCTTTCTATTTCAGTCCACGGCACGTTTCGTAAATCAGCTCTCTAGAGTTCGTGTTTTTGTTTGCTTGCTGTTTAAGGCATTTGTTTGACGGTGGCATTATGCAAATATATGATAATGATCTCGAAACCCATTTGCAAGTAGTTGTCTTTAGTGCACACATGTTATTGATATTCGGGAGGTGGGGACGATATTCTAGAATAGAGAAAAATGCCTTCTGGGGAATAATTAAAACGAGAGAGCAATTAACAGCTTTTCTCAAGATCCTTTAAAAAGCCCTGCCAGCAGAACAGGCAGCACATTCTTCAGGCGCGCGTGCGTACACACTCTCTCTCTATAGTTGTATTAGTCAACATACTGGGTGAAGTCAGTTGAAGTTGGGTTAGTTTTCATTTTGATTAAAGCCCTTCCCTCCTTCTTTCCTTCCCTCCCTCCCTCCCTTCTATAGCTTGATATGTTACGTGAACACACCCCAGCTGGTCGCTTTATGCTCAATGTGCTATGTATGGAGAGCACAAAATAATAATAATTCAATAATCGGGTTAAGTACGTTGTCAAAATCTACCATGGGAATCGGCTAGGAGAGCAGAAGAGATAAGTGTGAAGAGGACAAGTTATTGTGTAGAAAGAACAACTAATTCAGCTACGATTTTTTTTTAGATCCTGACTCCAGGATATTTTTGAAGAAATTCGTATGATTCCTCTCAAATAAAGGAGTTTGGGAGAGATTGATTTTCTCTTTGTTCACAAGTATCTGTTAGTAAATTTAATGTCCTCACCTCCATCCCTTCTTCCACAGGAAATAGAATCCCGCACCTCTCATACGGCACACACACTTTGTCCCAATGAAACCAGTAAATTAAGTAGCTTGTCCCAGCCCATTTCTATACTAGTGATTTTACTGCGACGCCCAGCCGTTGCTATGGCGATCTATCTACCACTAATGAAGACAAGCTTTCCATTGCTATAGAAGATGTTATAAATCCCTCGTGTGGATTTTGAGCTTCATGGATTGTTTGATTCTTGATCCTTTTTGCCTCAGCTAGCTTCCATTCAAAATATTTTCTGCTACTGAAAATGTAAGGCTTATCTCTCGCATTTAGAGCTCTGCAGTGTTCATTCAGCAAATCTTTGCTGTGTAAAAAAAGGAAGGAGAACCATTAATCAATGGAACAGCTTTTTTCCCAGAGTTGTGGGTGCTCCCTCACTGGAAGGTTTTCAAAAATAGACTGGACAACCATTTGACCAGGGTAAGATTTCTTGCCTTGAGCAGGATTGAACTAGAAGACTTCTGTGGGTCCTTCCAGCCCTTTGATTTTATGTTCTAAAAGGGTTACATTTCACTTGATCTTATGTCACTGTGTTAAGAACGGGTTAAATGCATTACTATAAGGCCCTTGGGCTTTTTTTTTTTTTTTTACTCTTCAGGATAGAACAAATGTGGGGTATTCAGGTGGGTCCCTTAGCCTGATCCGAAAGCTGTTTCAAATCAATGGCTGATGTATCCAAGTAATAATCAGTATGCCA